TATATATATATATATATATATTATATAAACACAGACAGACAGACAAGCAGACAGACAGACAAAAAAGTTAGGCGCATATCAGAGAAGTATGGAAGTAGAAGCGTACCTATTTCTTAGGGATAAAACCATGATATGATGTATTCAACTCACCTTTTTTTAATAAAACAACTAACGTACGCGCATATCGTATTATTTCGTATAGGCACTTCTTGGAAACAAAAACACGCAGTACCTATTCCGAGACGTCTCCGACAGAGATAGACCAATCAAAATGCTTTGCGCCTCTAGACCTAGTAAAAAAAATCAGGGGGCTACGGGATGCCCCCCTGTTCCCCTGTTTTAACCCATAATTTGATATTCTGTAGTCTGAAATTTTCTTGAAAATGATTGATTTGCCACAGTTTTAGTGGCTATTTATGTGATCTGCAGCAAATAATACGCAGTTTGACCCCCAAAGCCGTGCATCTGTGTGCGGGACGAATAGTTCCTGGGTGCTCGCCGGAGACGTCTCCGAATAGCTTCAGCTAAAAAAAACCACGATGAAACGCGTTCTTGTTATGGCCGAGCACTTTTACGCTCCATTTTATTATAGAGCTTCAGAGTAGGCCTCAACCTCAGAATTACAAAGTTCTATCTGACATCTTTCGCTGTTTTGAGTTACTAAGACCAGGACGTCAGAAAACAATTTTATGCACTATCTGCTGTATCAAAATCGTCAGATTATTCGGAGTCGTTGTCAAGATATTCAAAGAATTGCATTCGAAAAAGCTTGACATGTTGTGAAAATCTATATTTTCATGTCAAATTTCTCCAAACTAGGTACGGAGCAGATAGAACTTTGTAGTTCTGAGGTAGCGAGTGTTGTCATGAAATTCGACAGTCGCTGCAGCTTAAAACGCCTGGGCGCAGAATCGAGTCCGGAAACGATTCCCACGATCAATGCTACGGAAGAAAAGTTCCTTTTTTTACGTAAACCAGCGATTACTAGTTACTTTTTTCATTAAAATCTTTTGTTTTGAAGAATTTGTTTTTGAAAAATAAAAATTGATACTTCGTAGTGTTCCGAAATCAAGGTTATCCTAAATCCTGAAGACGTTCGGAGCCAACCAGATAACCTCCGGAAGAAATCACATCATTGGAAAGTAAGTAATTGGGTACGATTCCTAGCTTTAAAGAATCGGGAACCTAGCCGCCCAGCACTACCAAACAGTCTATCTAAACTTAATTCTTGATGCAGATGGTACCTTTTCGTTTTAAACAAACATTCCAATGCCATCCAGCAGTGTTACATACAATGTTTGGATTTGTTTTGTTTGAGGTTTTTTTCGGTTTTCTTTTGATTTTGCCTTGTTTTGTTTTGTTTTGTTTTTCTTGTTGTTGTTGCTGGTGGTTTCACAACCGAGGGCGTTTGGGG